ATAGATTTAAAATTTTGTCAATGAATCAGTACTTTGTGCGTATAAAATTTTAAAAGTAGCGGTATTTGAAATAAGCATTGACTGACTCAAACATTTCTTGTTTATAACTAGTTATGATTTAGTAAATTTGACTGAAATTCTGAGAAATTCTCTCGTGAACAATAACGAAAGAAAAGTTATTGAAAACGATAGTTTTAGTAGTTCCTTAGCATCCTAATATAGTGCAAGTAGTCCTCTTGGTTTGGATAGATATTGCATTAGTGCAAAGAGACCCTATATACTTATTGTCCCGAATGAATGTTTAGTACAAAAACATGCATGAGATTTACTCGTGTTTCATAGAATGGTTACAGAAATGATTTGGAGAATTTGTTGAATTTTGTGTCAATATTGTGTCAGTCGTTAATTAAAGATCTACCTATGGAGCCAAGTAAGCACTTTTTCTCCCATGTTTGCGAGATGCCCAATTCATAATTATAAGTAGAGACATTTAATGACAACAAAAGAACAGAAGGAATTCCTATATCTGTATGTATTGGGGTTTGGAAAGAATGTTAGGAGAATTGGACATATACACAAGAGGCCCAATAAGACGTCTGAGCCCAAGTCCAGAACATATTAATATTACTCTGTGCATCTGTATTATAATTGTACACGTGTAAAGTTTATCCTTATTCTAGGGTTTCACTGACCCTCTATTTATTGCTGTCTCCTGTACACAATCAGTAAGCTGAATACAATATATACATTTTATACAAATCCCTAGAACTTTGTCTTGGTATCAGAGCAAGCAGGCTCGCCGCCATGTCTGATTCATTGAATGAAGCTTCACGTGGTTCCCAACTCACCACGCCAGAAACCAACAACAGTGGGTCCAGCTCTGGTCTTTCTGCTTCTTTCCTTGCTAGGCTCACCGAAAAATCCAGCCCTCTCTCTCAAGGGTGTTCTGTCAAGTTGGACAGAACAAATTACTCAGTCTGGCTTACGCATGTTCTGCCAATCATCAAAGGCTACAAGCTTGAGGGCTTCATTAATGGCACCAAGCCGTGTCCGCCACAATTTATCACAGAAAATAATGTTTCTAAGCTGAACCCAGCTTTCGAAGATTGGGAGTCTGCTGACCAGTTGCTGTTCGGCTGGCTCTTGAATACTATGACCCTGGATATTTCCTCTGAAATGACTGGTGTATCCACCTCTACCGGTCTCTGGAATGCTGCAAAGTTGCTTGCTGGAGCGCAGATGAAGTCGCGTCTGCTTATGCTGAGGTCTGAACTGCAACGCACCAGAAAAGGGAATATGAAAATGGCAGAATATTTGACCAAACTGAAAAGCATTGCTGACCAACTGAAACTTGCAGGGAGTCCTATCTCCATACCTGATCTTATTATTCAGGCACTTGCTGGCCTTGATGCAGATTATAATGCTGTGGTGGTCCAATTGTCAAATCAAGCTGATGAAATCACTTGGATTGAGCTCCAAGCCTCTCTGCTCACCTTTGAGAGTCGACTGGAACAGCTCAACCAGATAGCAAACCTGTCACTAAACAACAATTATGTCAATTTCACTCAAACAGACAGTGGGTCCAGCTATCGTAACAACTGGCGTGGGGGCAGAAACAATAGAGGCCGCCGTGGTAGAGGAAGAAACTACAGAGGAGGACGTGGTTTCTTTGGTAACGATAGCAACAATCATGAAAAACCTAGATGTCAACTGTGTCGCAGGCTGGGTCATGTTGTTGAAGACTGTTTCTATAGATATGATAAATCCTTTCGTCCTGGTTCAGGTAATAGGAGACAGAATGATGGTTCCAGAAACAGTGACTATCCTGAATTTGACAGCGCTTACTGGGCTACACCTGAGACTGTGAATGATGATGCTTGGTATCTAGACAGTGGTGCCACAAGCCATGTGACAAATGATCCAAACAAGCTTGACAAAGTGACTGAAACTAGTGGTAAGATTAATGTGATTGTAGGTGATGGTTTTAAACTAGGGGTAAAGAAAATTGGTGATTCCACCATACAGAATGTGCCTGATCAGAAAATTGAACTTAAAAGAATTCTATATGCTCCTAACATTAAGAAGAATCTGCTAAGTGTTTACAAAGTAGCCTGTGACAATCATGCTGATGTGATTTTTAATGCTAATGGTGTCTTTGTGAAGGATCAGCAAACAGGGAAAACAATGCTGGAAGGAACTCCAAATAGAAGTGGCATGTTTCGAGTGCATGAACAGAAAACAGATGGCAGTACTAATATAGTTTTTGTTGCTGAAGAAACTGGTGACCCAGTACGTAGGAATAGAATCTTTAGTAAAAATTTCTGGCATTGTAGACTTGGGCATCCAAGCTCAAAAATATTGAATCAAATTATTGGTGATTGTAATTTGAAGACTATTTCTAGTAATGAAAATGAGTTTCTGTTCTGTGAATCTTGCAAGTTTGGTAAAATGCACTCACTACCCTTTAAAGTCTCCCTGTCACGAGCATCTAAACCACTAGAGCTGATACATACAGACCTATGGGGCCCGTCTCCACTTGGCTCTATGAATGGTTATAGATACTACATATTATTTCTGGATGACTATAGCAGGTATTCTTGGATTTTTCCACTCAAAACTAAAGATGAAGCACTGTCAATGTTTATTCAGTTCAAAAAGCTTGCTGAAAAACAGTTTGAATGCAGTATTAAAACAGTTCAGAGTGACTGGGGTGGTGAATACAGGAGTTTCAGTAAGTTGCTAAGTGATTCTGGGATTCATTTTCGTCATTCATGTCCTCATACCTCTCCTCAAAATGGGAGAGCTGAAAGAAAACATAGACATATTGTAGAAATTGGACTCACTCTGCTGGCTCAAGCTAAAATGCCTCTTTTTTACTGGTGGGAAGCTTTTCATACAGCTACTGAACTTATTAATAGACTGCCTACTGCCGTAATTGGAGGAGCCTCACCATTTCTAAGGCTGTATGGTAAATATCCTGATTATGAGGCTCTAAGGATTTTTGGTTCTGCATGTTATCCCTGTCTACGGCCCTATAATGACCATAAGCTACAGTTTCGAACGGTGAAGTGTGTCTTTATTGGCTACAGCAATGCACATAAGGGTTATAAATGTTTAAGCCCTACTGGAAGAATCTACATATCTAGACATGTGGTATTTAATGAAAATGACTTTCCCTTTGCTGCAGGATTCATTAACAAAAGAAACATACCTGAAGAGATTGTTCAACCAGAGGTTTTCTTTAAACCTTTTCTTTCGGCATTGCCCTCTTCTTGTCCAAGTGAACCAACTTGCTCTGAAGACTCTCCAGCTCCTAGTGCTAGCAGTGACTCTTTTCTTCAAGCTGCACAAACAGTACCCCATCAGCAAAACCACACCACTCTGTCATCATCTAATGAAACTTTACAGGAAAGTGAGAGTGTCAATCCAAATGATGTTGTTCAAGAAGCAGAACCACAGTCAGAACAACGTTCTACAACACCAATTCAGCATCATATGATCACAAGAAGCAAAGCAGGTATTCATAAACCGAAAATTCCCTACATTGGTGTTGTTACAACTGATGTTAATTCTGAAATAGAACCTAGTAATGCTACAGAGGCATTGAAATCACACCTTTGGAGAAAGGCCATGCTTGATGAGTATAATGCTCTCATTAGAAACCAAACCTGGGTACTTGTTCCTTTCAATGGCAGCAGAAAATTAATTGACTGCAAATGGGTGTTCAAGCTCAAAACTAGTGCCGACGGTCAGATCCATAAACCCAAGGCTAGACTTGTAGCAAAGGGGTTTCAACAGCGTCCTGGAATTGATTTTGATGAAACCTTTAGCCCTGTTCTAAAGACCTCCACACTTAGATTCATTCTCTCACTTGCGGTCTTTTTTGGATGGCACATAAGGCAGCTAGATATTAATAATGCGTTCCTAAATGGTGATCTACAGGATTTTGTGCTTATGAAACAACCTGAAGGTTTTGTGTCCAAGATTTATCCTGATCATGTGTGCTTGTTAAAGAAAGCTCTATATGGACTTAAACAGGCTCCTAGAGCTTGGTTTGAAAAATTGAGAGTCACTCTGTTAAGCTGGGGTTTTGTCCACTCTAAATCTGATACTTCATTATTTTTTATAAGACATAAAGAGTTTGTTCTCTTTGTTCTAATCTATGTGGATGACATAATTATCACTGGCAATTCCTCAAAAGTGTTGAGTGAGTTCATCAAGCAACTGAATTCTTGCTTTGCTCTCAAGGATCTCGGTCAACTACATCACTTCCTTGGAATAGAAGCCTATCGCGATGAGACAGGGCTATACCTTAAGCAGGAAAAATACATCCTTAATCTCCTAACCAGGTTCGGAATGGATAGATCATCTCCGGTTCCTACTCCTATGGTGACAAACCGGTATTTTTCCAAAGATGATGGCATGGCTCTACCTAACCCAACAAGATACAGACAAGCCATCGGAGCTCTACAATATTTGACCAACACGCGACCAGACATTCTGTTTGCCGTAAATAAACTTAGTCAGTTCCTAACTTGTCCCTCCGATGTCCACTGGCAAGCTTTAAAACGGGTTTTTCGATATCTACAAGGAACAACAGATCTTGCTTTACACATTAAACCGAGTACTCACCTACAAAAACATGCATGAGATTTACTCGTGTTTCATAGAATGGTTACAGAAATGATTTGGAGAATTTGTTGAATTTTGTGTCAATATTGTGTCAGTCGTTAATTAAAGATCTACCTATGGAGCCAAGTAAGCACTTTTTCTCCCATGTTTGCGAGATGCCCAATTCATAATTATAAGTAGAGACATTTAATGACAACAAAAGAACAGAAGGAATTCCTATATCTGTATGTATTGGGGTTTGGAAAGAAGAAGAAGAAGAAGAATAGAAACAAAATGTTTAGACTTGAAACCGTTAAAGTAAATTTTACTTTGGCTAATTCAAAATTTAAGAGTTACTATTATTCATTAACTCAAAATGGTAATTTATATTATAGTGTGTTTACAAAAGGCTCAGATCCTCCTCCATCAGTCTTTGTGGGGACATCTCTATCCCCAAACATCATAACTCTAGATCCAAATTGCTGGACAGAAAGCAAGGAGGATCGAGAACCGAAAGACTTTGATGTCACTATGTCCCCTATAACTCCAAGTTCTGGGTTATCACACCATTCCATGAAATTTAAAAACATCACCGAGTTCCCACCCCTCCCTCGTCCAATAATGTACAAATCACAGTCGTCTTTATCTAATTCATGGAGAAGTGACATGAATTCCTCACTGTTGTGTACTTCCTCCTCTGAGTATGTTATAGAATCATTGTTATAAACCCCTTTGAATCTGAACGATTCTATACACTCTTCATCTAGCAACTTTTGGCTTTCTTCATCTTCTGCTGCGGAAGATAGCCATTGAATTTCATCGTGGTTTGATGTTTCTGCTTTTGCTGCAGCCTCACCAGACAAAAGAATTCGTATCGTTGAGAGCTTATTTCCCGGATGCCTGGCCATTCTCCAAGCAATGGCTAAGGCTTCACGATCATCAGGCCCTCCGATGAAGATCATCATAATGTGTAAGTTGATTCTGGACAATGACCCAAGACCACGATCCACAAAGATTGCCACAGAGCAAGGTGCATCTTGCAGAACATTCTGGTTTATGTTCCTGCATACTTCATCATCATTACTTGTCTCCAGATCACCATTTACGTCTAGTTCTTTGTGAAAAGGCATGAGAATTAAAGCTGTTCGTTTTTGCTCTGCCAAGTCTTGTATGTCCCGGTGGATGGTTTCATAGTTTGAAACAACATCAAGAGTTTGGACTCTAACTGCAGCACATGCCTCTGCTAGAGTCTTAAAGATGGTGCTAATGTTCTCTGACAATAATTGTGAATGGGAAAGGTTTTGCAGTTCAGAATTATTTGCAGGGTTCCGCTTTATTTGGGAAGCAAAAAGTGCAGTAGCTCGTCCAATGAGTTCAACAAGATGAACTCCGAACACGTGTAATGGAGAAATTCTGGTAGCATTAAATGCTCTTAGGACGTTCACCATGCTTGTAGCTTGCCGAATATTGAGTACATAAGATATAACTCGGACCTCCGAGTCCATCCTTAACTTTTCAATGGTCCTTAACCTGACATTCTCGTATCTTTTTCTTGGTTTATATATTGCATTAACCAAAAGAGGCACCAAGATTGTCATCATGAGAACTGCACACACCATAATTGAAAATGCTACCACGGACAAAATCTGCATACGATGATTCAGTTAGTAAGATCTATATGAATAACCAGAGAATATATAGATGTACATGTAAGAAGGATTATTTAATTTTATATAATTTTATACCTTTCTATCCCAAGCCGTGTTTAGAATTATGATGGCCAAGACGCCTTTAGAGTTGAGGAGGAGTCCAATACCCACACCATCTCGAATGGGCACACCGAAGAAAAAGGTGGCTATCAAAGTGCTTACAACTTTTGGGATGGATAGCAAGAACATAATTAGGACCATACAAGGCCAATATTTTTGCTGGGCAAGCATGAAGAAGTTAACGGTTAAGCCAGAACGGAAGAAGAAGACAGGTGACATAGCCACAGAAACAAAATCATCCAACTTCCTCATCACAAAATCAGCGAACCTCCCATGAGGTAAAACCAGTCCGTACACAAAAGCCCCGACAATAGAATGCGTACCAAGTACATCTGTAACAAACGAACAAGCAAAAGTCCCCATCAACACCACCAGCAACAAAGAATTATCCCATGTATCTTCTTCTTCATTCTTGCTCCCCTCAATGTATTTCGTCATGACAGGGCGCAATACGAAGATGCAGAAAGCGATGAACATTATCGTACCCAACACCGACCAAAAGGCCTGCACATCGTTATTTGCAAATGGGATTAATATTATGAGTAAAAGCCAACCATAGGTGTCGCTAATCATGGCTGTCGTTAAGGTGGCTTTGCCTAGGCCGGTGTAAAGGAGTTTGAGATCAGCAAGAATACGAGCAAGCACAGGAAAACTCGTAATGGTTAGGGCTAAACTCCAGAACAAATAAGCTTTAGCTTTGAATTGATTATCCGCTCTAAATATCAAAATTGACGGCTCTTGGTAAAGTTTTTCTATTAGAGCATAGAAGCCCAATCCCATCAACATTGGGATGATGATACCAGAAATGGCAATGGAAATGCTTCCGGCTTTCTTCTTTTGTATTTTGAGAATGTCATCTAAATTCATTTCCAATCCACTAAGGAAGCAATAACACATGATGCCCATAGCTGCGTATGTTTCAAGGTTGATGACTCCTTCCGAAGGTAGGAGCAAACGAACCATTATGTTGTCTGTAGCTGAGAAAAGACCCAGACACATACCGGCCTGCACATGAACATCCATAGAACCATGATATATGTTTATTTAATTAGAATATAAGTAAGAAAATGCTCAACTCAATATCATGATATTAATGATTACGACGTGTACTTACAAGAACCTCAGCGATAAGACGAGGTTGATGAAGAGGTCTAAGAATGTAGTGAAAGATGTTGCAGATGAAGATATTGAAAGCAATTTGCAGAAACAATAGGGGGGCGTATTTGGTCAAAATGGAGCCCGTTTTCCAGATCTCATTAGGATTAAATACCTCTTCAACATAACACGCTTTTGCTTCTGCCATGTAGATAATAATTTACTTTCCTTGGCTTCTTGTGACTCAGGAATCACAATCTTTCCGAAAATCTGACTCAGGAATCACAATCCCTCGACTTATATATTAAAATCGGTAAACGATCGAATGCATTAATTGTTACAAAGACATATCAGGGTTTGTTTCATTATTAGACAGAAAATAGCTAACACACGTATATTCACTATCATCCTCCTATCTCGAGTCTATGAAAAGGAAGTGATTAACAAATTCTCCCTAACTGAATTGGTTTTTCATCATTTGACACCACTGACAGCAAATATTTTTAAATAAATCAGTTTCCATCTCATTTTACTAAGCAGACCAACAATATATTTTTTGCCAGCGACAAATTACAAGCAATATAACCACTTGTATTGTATGGATGTAAGTATACTTTTGTATGAGAAAAAGTAAAATAAATTAATGTATATAATAAATGAATAAGCACGCAATATGTCAAGCTCCTCTGGAAATTCAAAATTCTGGATCTTGATTAATTTATCTTCTTTTTTTTGTTTTTAACAAATTTAGTATGATTTATTTTTTATTTACTTGAACTTGAATTAGTTTGATTTCTATTTCATTAATTTGATAAAATTTTTGACAAAAAATTCATATATTAATCAATCATGTAAATATATGAGGGCCACTACATATAGTGTATGTATGTATGTGTATAGACACGCAAACACACATGTCAATAAAAATGACAATGCACGTTATAGTATTTACGACGCATTATATTAAATTGTATCTTCAAGACTTCAACTTCCGCTTATATATGAGTATATATACATATGCGCCTATGCGCCCGTGTACGTGGGTGAGAGTGAAAGTGCATCTGCAGTTTCAAATATAATACTACGTGGATGCTTGATATAAAAGTTACTTAACTAATTTGAATAAGTAAAAAAATTAGTTAAATTAAAGGTTAAAGTATATATTCAGTCATTTGACTTTATAAAGAGTTTCAATTTTGTCCTTTAACTTTAAAAAGTATACTTTTAGTCATTTAATCCTAAAATTGTTAACAAAAAAAATAATGACATTGAGATCTTAAATGTTGATAAAATATTTTCACATGCTAACATATTAAGTTTAATTTTCAAAATAACTGTAATTGTTACAAAAAAACCATAATCTATGTCTAACAATTTTAGAATTAAAAGACCAAATGTATGCTTTTTAAAATCAAGCGATCAAATTAAAACTTTGTATAAAGTTAAAACTAAATGTATACTTTAGCCTAAATTAATTATTTGTAATAAATATAAGTTGATTTTCTTAAAGTATGCTTTTAATCATGATTATCTTTGGATGAAAACCTACCCTTACTATGTGTAATCAATAGGGATACTTTAAAGAATAAATTATAAATATGGGTGATAAAATGGATTGAGGTATTATATTTAGGACAAAATCTAATATCAACTAGTTCTTATATTAATGATTCAAGATAGTATATTAATGTGGCATTTATGAGATTAATTGAAAATAATCTATATTTGACGTATTCCAGCTAATCATCCATGTCATATTGATTTACCATTTGATAGCTTTGATTTAACTAATTTGTAATTATATCCCTATTTATAACAATAATAAATCTTAACTCACCATCTTGAGTCAGCTACATGGATCGTAATATTATACTAAAAGACTCTATGTGTGAATTGGTAAACAGAGAGAAGCTCACGGTGGTCAACAAAACAATATATAAATATAAAATATGTGCCCCGCCCGCGCGCTCGCGCGTCTATATATGGATCCACGCGGAGTACTATGTTTGACAGATCTTATGAACGTTGACCTGGCAATTCACGCGGAAGATGTTAATCAAGCTTTCCTGCACGATCAACGGCACTACCAAATTGAAATATTAAAGCCTAATTAAAGGGTGTTTTATGCTTTCCATTCTTCATTAATTATAGTTCCCTTCAGTGTGATTGAGCAGTGAAGAGATTTTTCCAATGCATTGAAACATAATGACATGTGCCAATGCAGAAGCTTAATTGGTACAGATAATCAGATCGTTAGACAATAACTTAACTCTCTTACCTCAAAATCAATACAGTGTGCTAGTCAACTTATATATAATATTTAACATGAATTGGCCTCTTAATATGTGTATGTATCACTTTTTGCTCACCGCCTCAAAGAGATATATATATATATATATATATATATTTGCCAACATTTTTATATTCATATTAATTACAGCTGCTTTAGTAATTAAAACCACAATTAAGATACTCACCCTAGTTGTAGGTTTTTTTAATGAAAATGGTCATTATATATGGTTGTGCCCCTCCATTTGCGAAATACCGATTCATTAGGGTTGTCAGGGATTTAATTACGAAGCCAGAAAGAAAAAAGTCTAAAGGGGCTGCGTTATAATTTCGACAAACTCAAAATAATGCTAAGACATAGATATTTAAGCAAGGGGACCAAACGTATCCATAATTTCAATTTAAGGAGCTACATTAATACGAAATTCTCTCCTTAAATGATTAATACATAGACGAGAGGCTTAGATAAGCGCATTATTTCAAATAATACAAATTAAACTTTTATTTTATTGTTAGAAAATGAAATTACTATTATCTAATTCAACAGTATGGATATGAGATAAACCCCACCATATTGTCCCTTTATATATCACTTTGCTCTATTAATCTGTTTCATAGCTTTATTATTAACTTCACTTTTTGCATTATTCGCCATTATCAATTATTCAATACAATTCCAATTTTTCAAAACACGCACTGTATCATGCATTAATATAACAGGAATTTGAGTTACATGAAAGGTTAGGTTATATATTATTTATTACAGTATCCTACCGCTGTAGTTTAATTTGTTATATTTTACTGTTAAAGAAACTAGTGGAGCACATAAACAGGGAAGTTGAGTTAATTTAATGGGAAAAATTTTAAAATGAGTATGAGTTTAATAAGACTATTTGTATCAATAAAGAAATTTTATTAGCTTTTTAAAACAGAATTATATATGGCAACTTGATTTTTGACTTAATTTTAAGTTTGACTGGCATTTTCGCGTAAAATGTAAATATGGACAAAAAGATCGATGTAGATACAGCTATTCCACAATGAACATTATTGACACGTCTAATTGCATATTTAATACCAAGTTGAAATCCATCAAACAAATTGAGATATGAAAATTAATATAGTAAATCTACGTACTCTATCAATACTCCGAGGACAACAAATAATTAATGCGATAGAGTATATATAATTTTATTTTTCAAACCAAATATAATTTGAAAAATGATTACTTGACCGATTTTCGACAAATCAAATAATTGAGACATGGGAGTATAGACGCAAATTTGGCATTTATGATATTACGCTTTTAAGGTTGGTTTAATTTGTTTTCTCGCCGTCAAGAAGTAGAAAAAAGTACACTTGATAGATCTATCAATTTTATCGGTGCCATGTGAAATTAAATACTAACTGATAATTGATTTGCCATTCTTTTATTCTATTTTCTTTTTTCTAAGCATATTTATGTCAAACTTTTCATTAATAATTGATAACTAGTTGAAAAAACATATTCGTGTATTTCCTTTGAATAAGAATATTCTTGTCAGCATACATTTAACAAGTGCAATAATTTTTTTACAATATATGCATAGTTTGATTCTATCTATACAAATATTGTTCGAAACATTTCAAAATTGGATGGCAACCTTGCACGAAGCTCATGAAAAACCAAATGCGAATCACACGACAGAAAGTATTGGAAACTAAAATAATAACATAAGTTGCAGATTTACAAGTTATTAATTCCACAAGTTTCTTAGGAAAAAAACCATGATCAAATCATCAAATCCTATATTTTTCCAATGTGAATGACCAATCCAAGAGTTCTAAGAGTGCCATCGGTTGCACTATCAACATTTACAAGGAAGAACTTTAAAAGATCATCCTCATATCCTTAATGTAAGACTTATTTTGTAATATAATTTGCACTATAAAATGGATTGTACATTTGAAACCAGAGGAAATAGTAACTTTTTGGTACTATTTTTAGAAGATTTCCTTCCTATTCAAACGCAGCTGTAAAGTTACATTGATTGTGAGAGTGCCATCCTGAGATTTCTAGCGAGCTCTTTCCCGCCCAAGTTGAACTCATCCTCCATCTGCAATAATAATACATAATCAAATCTAAAATCAGATTAATTAGATTCTTATTCTCCAATAACGCAACAAGTGACATATAATTTCCATTCTGAGTTTTATTAATCACAAATTAACAATTAAATTTTACATTAATGACAAAATGTACCTCAGCTATGATGGTGATGTCCAGAATGGAAGTCCCAAATGGCATCACGCTGCTATTTACCACAGACAAGTGGAATTTTTCTATCTCCTTAATTGTCTTCACCATTATTCCTTCTTGTTTCTCGCATTGGACCCGAATTAACACGTTCTTGTCTGAAACCCTTGCTTCAACATCTGCTTCTGCTACTGTTCTATGAGATTCTGAGGGATCAAGGAAGTTTTTGATATTGTCTGATGAATTATTAAACGACATGTCCGTAGATATCAGCTGAGACTTCTTAACAAACACCAAGGATTCTCCAGTTTTCTTCTTCGTCTGTTCTTCCAATATTTTCACTTGTTCTTGAAGCTGCTTCACGTGCTTTATAGCTCCCTCCAGCACAGAAGCCTTATCCGCCTGGAAAAAAAAAAAAGAGATATGTTCAGAAAGAAGACAAGCAACATGGATTTGAGTGATTTATAAACAAGTGAAATAGTTATGTTCTGATAAAGTTAACCCTTTTGAGGCCAGGAATTAGGGCTGAAAGAGCAATGAAGTGCTGGGTGATCTTTCCTCTCCTTATTCTCTCGGCAAGTAAGTGATCTTGTTCTCGAGTGTTTCTACCCTCCGCCATGCCTCTTTCTTTAATTCTTGTTTGAATCTGCAAGTACCCCTTTGAAGGGTCATCAAAAGAAGCCTTGTCTTGTAGCATGAAGACAGAATTTGAACTTGAAGGATTGCTCGTGATGATGCCATTTTCGGAGTTGAAGGTATCTGTATTATTATTATTATTATTCCAACTAGTTCCAAAGTTCTCATGTGATGCACTGCCTAACAATTCATGAGCCCCAAAAGCAAAACTGAAATCACCAGCTATTGCCTGTCAACATGTATATTCAGAAACTGATCAGATTATGTCAACAAGTGTTAATTACAATTGATCAAGGGCATAAAATAATCATGGTCTGATGAATTACCAAATCCTGGAACAAGCTTTCCCAGGATTCCTCCATCGATTCCATTTGGGCTTGTAATATCGATCTGTTTCAACTATTCAAAACTCGAAGTCAAAGGATGGTATAAATTCCAAATTATGAAAACCTAAACAAACGTTTAATCATTCATATAGACATACCAATCAAGCAGAGAGGACTAGGGCATAGTCATAGTGGCCATTTGGGTTTGTATGCTTCATTAATCTACGCAGCTTAAGGATTTCATAAACCTTCAATTCTCTCTCTATATATATGTGCTACATTTCAGTCATATATGACGTGCTTAAGCTTAATTCTTACACGTAGCGTTTAATTGCTCCACAAATTAATTAAATGGACGCTGGTTAGTCCATGCGCGTTCTTTCTGTATGTTTTGACGAATTGAAGTGATATTAAATAATTGATCGTTGAATTCACATACGTAACAGTACAGTTCTTAATTAACAATTTAAATTAATAAGCAACCCATGCTATATACTCCTCCTATCCTTAATATAAGACCCATTTAACTAATTTGATTAGATTAAGGAATTTAGGTAAGTTAGTTAATTATAAGAAATGTGACACATTTTTCCTAAAATACCATAATCATCTTTCTTAATACCCCATCTTCCTCTTCTACTTGATTATGGTTGAGGAAGTATCTATAGGGGTAATTTAGAGAAAATTGATAAATATGATAAATGGGTCTTATATTTAGGACCAAAACTAACTCAACAATTGGGTCCTATATTAAGGACCGGAGGAGTATATATATATATATATATATCTTGGAAAGCACATGCAATATATGTACACACATATTTTTTGTTTTTGCACACATAGATACGTGTGTGGTGAGTACATACCTTTTTATTTACTTCCTGGTTTTATGATGAATATAAAAATATACGTACAGGAACCCTAAAGTATTATACAATCGTATATGTGATAATGTCCAGATCAAATGTTATCCTTATCAAAATTAAACCAGCCATGAATCTACAATTGACCTTTCCAGTTGATACTTACACGCAATTCATCAGTACATTTCCATCCATATTCATTCCGATTTTCGGATTTGCAGACCACTGATACCATACGGAAGTGATCGATCATGGTTTTCATTTCTTTTCCTTTTTAAAATTAAATGAAGCAATCAGAAAATGATCGTTCGTATATTAATTCAAGTGTACGACTGCATCTTAAATAAATCTAAACTATCTATTATTACACGAAACGGATTGTTAATTATTAATTATATTAAGTATTGTCAATTGTATATTCATGTTTTTTGATATATTTTTCTTTCTTTTTTTATTACTATATATGGTACTTCTTTCGGCCGATAAAAAGCAATCTCAAGTTTAAAGTGACTTGAGGAGAGTTTATACCAAAAAAATCTGATGACCCATCTCCTTAAAAAAATTTAAGGGCATTCTGAAGTTGTGAAAATTATGACATTAAATTGAGGGCACAGTTGAAAAGAAGCACGAAAACATTTTAAACATAAACTAACCTAACATGTTTTCTTGATGTGTGTAAATAATAAAATTGACTCTCATAAAGACGGAGGGTGCATATATTACTAATCTAGGTTTGAGTATTATTGGGTTTAAATAATAATTGGTCTCCCAACATATATAGTTTTTCCACCCTCAATGCTTAATCCTCTTTGCTCAAGTATACCGATTCTCTTGGTCCATTCCACCTTTTAAGCATTATGATAATTATGATAATTTTTCTTGATGCACATCGATTTCAATTATTTAAAATTTATTGGAAAGTGCATTTGATGGATAAACTAGTTCTTTATGTTTAATTTCTTAAAACCACGCTGGATGGATGGAAGTAAATTAGATTAGAAGTTATATTCATTCTTTTTGGGTTTGGGATTTAGAAATCATATTATGCTGTATTTAATTTTAATCCCAATAAATTGTATTAATCGAGTTGAGTATAGGCTTGCTTAATTATGCTCTTCTATTCACATTTGAATCCATTCCTATGGATTTTCTCCATTACGCTTCCTCCGCTTTTAATCAAAAGTGCAAACAAGTAAACACGAACTATTCAAACACAAACTTATAGAACGAATTTTATAGAGTTTTTGGAAACTCTTTCCCGTCAATTTTGGTCTAATATATCTCACTGTCAATTTGTGAGAGCCCGTGACAGTGACCACACACGTATTCAGCAAAAGCTAGCTACTACTCTGGCAGCATCTCTACTTTAAAAACGGTGATACAAATTGAAAAATACAATAATAATAAAATTTGAATGGCTCAAATTAATTTGAGATCGATTATATAACTTGTAAGTACACCTGACGGCACAACTTGCTTCTCTCATGAATTTTTTTGTTCTCCTCATATGCATTCAAAGTAAATTTATGTGTTAAACCTTTGTGTGCATTTGAAGAGAACATGATTTGATTTGGAGAAATATATAAATCAATGCTTCGTAAGTTGTCTTGAACAGGATCTATTCATAAACTGGGCTGAGATCGAACCCCCGGTCATGATCCTGCATTATATTTTCCCCCAAGTATAGAAAAAGAAGGCCAATTAATGAAGTCTCAGTTTTTTATTGTATCTGGCTGCATCATCCGAGTGCGACTCACTTAAAATAGCCACTCGTAGGTTCTTTACGAGTTCCCTCATCGTCAAGCTGCAATCTTCGCCCATCTGCAAAATGTTTGTCAACCATGCTTCACATATATATATCTTGACTCATTAGTTAATATTTGTTTCATGAGACGAGAGGATCGATGATTCCGTACCTGAGCAATAATGGTGACGTCAAGATTGGAGTCCCCGAATGGCAAGACGCTGCTATTGACAACATAAAGTTGCAGATTCTGAATCTCTGCTAGTATTTTCACCAAAAGTCCCTTGTGTTTCTGGCAGTGGATCCGAACCAGTACCTCCTTCTCCAACACTCTTGCTTCCACTTCAGCAAGTCCTTCTTCATCATCGTCATCCTCGAACAGTTGCGATTTCTTCGCTTTAACCACTGATTCAACTCTTCTTTTCTTGTTCTCTTCTTCCAGCAACCTCAGTCGCTCCTTCAGCTCCTTCACGTACTTGATAGCATCCCCAAGCACCGAAGCCTTGTCCATCTGTTTGACAGCATGTTTGCTTTCACATTAATTTCTATACATCTCATATCTTTCATTTATAAAGAATCTATGGAAGGCGTGTGTTGTACCTTTTTGAGGCCAGGGACAAGGGCTGAAAGAGCAATGAAGCTCTGGCTGAGTTTTTCTCTGCGTTTTCTCTCAGCCATGATGTGATCACGGACGTGAGGGATGGGCCTATTATTGATGCTTTGGGTGGATTTGGCCTCAAAGTTATGATTTTGGAAAAACCCATTAGGAGATTGAGCTGAGAAATAATGTATATGATGTGACGGAACCTCTAGCTCCTTGTTTGGCTTCAATGTCGTGGTTGGGTCAAAACCATGAGAAAGGCTGGTGCTGTTGGTATGCGACGAAGTGTTATTATTAGAGTTATCAAAAGACAGAAGTTGAGAAGAAGATGAAGGATCAGATATGGCGGAATAATTCCAACTATTATTGGATTTGAACTGCAAAAGAGGCCCCTCGAGGCTAGTTTCAGCAGTAGTGCATGAATTATACGAAGAATAGCTCTCACAAGACAAAGATGGCTGCAAGTACTGCGCCTGCACAACACTGGCTATGTCATGTTGTGAAATAAACAGATCGTCATCGATAGAGTTCAGGTGGCACAAGGGAAACAAATCGTAATCATCCATTTCCTGCCAAGAATGAGCTAATTGAAATTATTAAATGAAGTATAAAGAAATGTAGTTATTAAATCACTAAGAGTTTGAGTTTCTGCATATACCAAATCAGATAACCAGTTGGCTGGAGATGGTTCCATTGATATGTACGCAAGTGTCTGAATTTCTGCAAGATCAACCTCACCTTACTGTTTTATCTGAAGGAAATAAGCAAGGGACATCCTTAACTTTCATTCCTTCGATCTTTTTATAGCCACAAGACTCATCATGAAAGCAAATCGCAATCTTCCACCTGTCACCCAAATTAAATAATAATTGGTCTTTGAAAAGAATTAAATAAAAACTGGGGAGGGCTGACGAATGGTGGTTATCGTTGAAGCGTTTAAGCTTAGTCTGGGATGATGAGTTGTGATCAAAGAAATTAAATAAGTAGGCTAATAAGAAATTAGCAGCTTGATCCCGCAAGATATGAAGCATCTCAGGGATATGTGTACAAATAGGGAATTCCCGATCATGACTTCTTCATCTTCTATAATACTGCCAACCAGCTGGACACTGCTTCCTTTATTTGATAACAATAATTCAAGGTGTGGCATAGCAGTCAGCCATATATACCTAATTAATCGTTCACATGTGATTTCTTTAATCTTTTTTTTGTGATTTGTAAAGCGTAAGAACATAATATGGTGCTTCCTCTAGATATTTTTATCGTAATAGCTGGGTTTTAAAATTTATGTTTATTTAGTCCCCGAAATGTAAGATATTGGTTATGTGTTTGTTTGTTATCTTTAAAGTTTGTGTAAATATACTTAATATAAAACCTAATTGGAGAATTGTTATTAGTTCTATATATGAGACTTATTTCACATATTTATTAATTTTTTCACAAATTAACCATATTGATATTCTCTTAACAATGATCAAGTAGAAGAGAAATAGAGACAATTGAAAAATACGTTCAGGAAGTTTTAGAAAAAACATATCATATTAACTAATTTAACTATTATTCAAATTAATTAATTATGTATTATATTAAGGACCGAAGGAGTACTATTTACTAGCGTCCAAGTGTTGGTTATCAAATATAAGAAATATTCATATATTTATAAAAATTTAACTACATGATATACAAAAAACAGTTTTAAAATATAATTAATCCTATCTTTTTAATATTTTTTGGTGAAACTATGTATTTCGAAATTTAAAATCTATGAAGATATATGAAGGAATAACGAAGAAACAAAAATAAACAAAATAGCATTGAATCTAATATTATACTTTATTAATATGTTAATATTGATGGCCAAAGAATGCTGGTTTGGAATAGTGATGCAATCATCATATATCATTAGGTAGACACAGCCAATGACTCTCGCCTGGTGCTCTGGTTTCTGGGAATTTCACTCTTCCCGACCTGCGGATTTTTTTAAGGGGAAAAAAACAAGAAAAAATGAAAATGGCAGTTCATGGAAACAACAAAACCATAAATTATACAATTTAATGGTCCACGAGTGACAGGATTTCAGTGGCTCATTTATTTATTTGCAACAAAATCTTTAATAAATAATACTCCTCCGGTCCTAATTATAAGACCCAATTGACTTATTTGAGGAGATTAAGGAAGTAAGTTAAGTTAGTTATTTATAATAAATAAGTGTTGTTATTCCTAAAATATCCTTGCTAATTAAGTATATTGGCTAAAACTATCATTATTAGAAGGATTATCTTGAAAAAAAATACATAAATATAAGAGAGAAAATGAATTGGGTCTTATAATTAGGACCAAATAAAAAGTCAAATTGGGTCTTATAATAAGGACCGGAGGAGTATTAAATAGGATAGAGGAATGATACAGAAATGATCATAGTTCTTCAATTCAATTCGTATACTCATATATATATATATATATATATATATATATATATATAAGATTCCAACTCATAGTTCTGCAAAATAATATAATCAAAACAAACAGATGAGATGGGCATGGATAGCATAAAACGAAGATTACGCATTCCTTTGTGGATGCTAATGATCCTTTTGCTTGAGTTAGAAGATCCAGGCTGACACTATTCTCTCATTTATTTGATTCTCCTTGAAACAAGGTGTTCCAAATTATATTGAAGAATCGTTTAAATCTTCAAACCAAACAGCATAGAAGAATCGATCATATTTTCTGATGAGAACGTAGTGACAGACTAACAGTTCTTGTCTTCCTCTGTTCCCACATGTGGACCCTCAGTTTTTTATCTTTTGTGAATTATTATTATTATTATTATTATTATTATTATTATTATTATTATTATTATTATTATTATTATTATTTATTTCTGAAAGGATATTCATCATGACTATTGCTGCTCCAGTTTTATGCACAGAAAATTCCATTTCAACCACCAAAAGATAAAACAAGATTGATTTTCTTAGGATGAGGTAAACGACATTATTATTTGACCCAAGGAAACAGAATTATTTTTTTTCCTGGTCATTCAATTCAACTTTTCTGGTGATCCTGGGATAAATTTTACTACTACCTCCCATCCTTAATATAAGAACTAATTAATTGATTTGAGTAGATTAAAAAAACTAGTTAAGTTAATTATTTGTAATAAATAAGTATTATCTTTCCTAAATTACACTTACTAATTAAGTATATTAGCTAAAATTACCATTATTACAAGAACTACTTTTAAAAAAAAATAAATAAATATGAGAAACAAAGTAAACTTATGTCTTATATTTAGGACCAAAATAAAAATTAAACAAGCTTTTATACATATTAAGGACCGGAAGTAGTATTATAATTGCTGCAATTTCATTTATCCTCAGTTATTCAAGTTCAACTTCATTTTATATTTTGCACACCATAAATATCAGAAAATGCCTTTCACTGGGATCACAGGCGATCCATGTATTCGACACTAGATTAAACAATGTGCACCTTACACAATACTAACAATTTGCGCAGATAAAGGCGAATGCACCACAAAGTGCCGATCCCAAGCTTGAAATACCACTCACATCCACACATCAATCTGAACAGCTTCTCTACTGTGCAGACAGAAAAGATAAATTTACAATTCAATATAATTAAAATAAAAAAAGGGCCCAGTCAATTAGAGGGAGCGGAGATGCAACGAGGAAATACCAGAGAAGCCGACCTGCTCGCAGTCTCTGGTTGGTTCTTAACGTTTAAAGGGGCATTAAAAGTTGATATCTTCTAAAAAACAGTCCCTCCATACAGCTGGTGAAGCTAAAAATTCCTGTATCCAAGGCCTCTAACAGAAAATAAGCAAGAAGTTTCATGACCAAGTTATTTTGTCCTCCTAATTCAAGTCTACAAAACCATAGATGACTCCTCACCAAGAAGAAATTCAAAATAACTCAGTTTTTCTGTTGAGTCCAGATCTTCACGGTTTTATCAGTGCCCAGAGCACCCGAAGCAATCATGTTCTCTGTAGGGTGACATGACACAGATATAACAGCATCGGAGTGACCTTCCAATTTCTGAACTATTTTCCTCGTTTGCAGTTCCCACAAGTATATAGAGTTATCTTCAGAACCACCAACAACATACTTCCCATTTGTTATAGAGAAGGCAGCGGAAATGCAGTATTTTGAATTAACATGGCCAGTGTATGTCTTCAGAAACTTCCCAGTTGAGTAGTTCCACAGCCTCTGCAACATTAATAATGAAAATTCCCATATAAAGACGGGAACATGAAAAGTAAACTCACTGGATTCTCAAATATTAATAAAGAAGTTTTTTGCTTCTGTTGTAGTGAACCAAGGCAGAAAGAAAATTGACTACTCAGTCAAGGAACAAGAAAACAAACAAACTAGGCAAATGGCTGGAGGTAAACTCACGCAATAAAATATCTTGTGCACAACGGAGAATCCAATAGAGAAACTGAACATGAAAAACGATTTGTTTTGCTTTCCAATACAGCAATGCTAGAAAATAAGAGTGTATATCATATGCAGCCAACATATTCCAAAATCTAAGTTGAATCTGAAACTCTAGATTAAGATACAAAAGTATTCACAAGAACATTCAGTAGTCAAGTACCATATCTCCATTTTTAAAACCCATATTTTCAGCAGTTCTGCCAGGTTTCTGAAGGCAAATCTGTGAAACACATGGATATAGCGAGAACAGAGTACGAAACTTTCTACCAAATTTACACCATAATGGTCAGTTCAAATCCAGGAACAAAGTAGTGTAAGATTCTAAGCAATGTGGGTTCTAAAACAGAAAAAGAACAGTATAATCAGCTCGGGTGCATTTTGCAGAACACAGATTATTAGCAATTTTTAATCCTGCACTATCTAATATGGCAAACAAACAACTGAGGAAATCTGGGATTGAGATAGCAACAAGCTGAAGCAATCTTTCTTCTCATGGAGAAGGAAATAAATTACCAGGATAATGAAAAACATGTGGAGTCAAATTAATTAGTTACTATTGAACAACAAACCAAAAAGATTCCAACAAACAGAAAATACAGCAATTTAGGGTCTAGGCGGAGGACAGAAATAATTGTTGGTTCAGAGATTCTTTCTTTTGGAACTCTCTCAACACACGGGAAGGAAACAAACTTCTACGATGAGAACAGCTTACAAATAAGTTTAGTCTATCACCATTAATCTACAAAATCTGGATATTCTAACAAGTCGAAAAAAGAGCAAATGAGCCAAATGATCATATTAAGCCAAATCTCGAAATAGCTTAAATGAGTCTACTATACACACTTGATTAATTTCATGAATGCCTCTTAAGGTGATGAATAAACATGAAAAAGGACGGCTCCAACAGCTCCAACGTATAAGGAACACGTATAGTCAGCTAAAAACACACAATGTCGTTGAAAAACTAATGCTGAGAAGATATAAACTAGCTATTCAATTTGAATCAGATAAAGAAAAAATTAAGTAGAAGTACCAGAGTGTTGTCCAATGTCCCAACAAGAATAAACTTTCCATTGGGCGAAAATCTGACGAAGGAAACAGGAGGATTCTCATCATCGATCAAAGTCTTCATGCAATGGCCAGTTGAGGCATCCCAAATCCGACAGAGCCCATCATAGCTGCTGGAAACAATGAGGGAGCCGTCCCGATTGAAATCCACAGCAGTAACGGGATCAGAGTGAGCTGGAAGGACCTTCAAGCACTTTCCGGACTTGACATCCCAAACCCGAACAGTCTCGTCGAAGGAACCCGAAACGATGACGTTGGATTGAGGATTGAAGTTGACACAGAAGACGTAATTAGTGTGGCCATGGAGGGTTTTGATGAGCGAGCCAGTAGGAACGTCCCACAAGCGAAGGGTCTTGTCATCAGAGGCGGAGACAAGAAAACGAGAGTCGGAAGAAAAGGCCAAGTCGGAAACGCCCTGGTCGTGGCCCTGATACTCCTGCATAGGAGAGAGGATGAGGCTTTCGGAATCGGAATCGGATTTGGTAAAGCCATAAGTTCGGAGGGTCTTGTCGGCGGAGGAGGACGCAAGGAGACGGCCGTTCGATGAGAATTTAACAGCGGAGACGGCGCGCTTGTGACTAGTTAGGGTTTGCGAAAGAGTATAGGGCTTGAACGTCTCCGTAGAGTCCGTCGACATTTGAAAGATCTTAACGAGGTTTCGAACACTTGCGCTTTGAGAGGTTTTAGGAATCTAACATCAATATTAATGGCAATGACTGAAGATTCAGGCCAGAGACCAACCAAGCCGTCCCGAAGCAGAGCTCCAATAAGCAACTTTGGCGAATTTCAGACGCCTCCCGGCTCAAATCTCGACGCGGGATTCATCCGTTATCCAGTGACGTCAGAAATTTCAGGCCCGAAAAGAACAGCAACGTCGGATCAGCATTCAGCAACCTTCATTCTCATCCGAGTCAACATCATTGTCATCATCCACGTCATGCTAGTCAACAGCCATGTCACCATGTTTTCATCCACTAAGCCCCCTGTACTCTCCTAGTCATCATCCACGTCACCCATTGGACCTTTTTAGGTCACGTCATGGGTTTTTGGGCTTTGCAATATTTTACCCGGCCCAATCTCCCAACAAACTAGGACTTCTTTTGCCGGGGAAAAAAAACATGAAGTATAAAGGGACCACTATCGAGAATGACATACTTACCCTTGTTGGAAAAAAAAACATAAAAATAAAAATCCAAGATCAATGTTAGTTTAAACTTTAAACCATTTGCTTGTTGTGGTTTTGAGAATAATAATCTATAATAATGAACCGAGCACATGGATGCATCTAGATTTACTTCTTTTTTTGGGGGGGGGTTTTTTTAATTTTTTTCCCCCTCTTTACTAGGTAAGGGGAAATCTTAAAAGAAGGAAAAAATTTATTTCCCGAATAAGTATACTAATTTGAATAAAATTTTTGTGAGAGATTCAAAATGTAGGTTCTAGTAGTAAAAAATATATAGATTATTTGAAAAGTTAAAACAACGATGATAAAATAAAGAAATATGCAAAACCCAATGCAAGTGGCATTATCATATAACTTAGGAATGTATAAAGAAATTATATTGTTTATAAATTATTAATAGAATGGCCTGTATCAATTTTCATATTGTATTTACTTGCTCGTGTGTCTATATATCAATAGATAATGCCAAGAGTAAAAAAATTATTATATGTAAGATATTAGTGAAAATTAATACTACCTTAAGCCTTTAATATAAAATATAATTTATAGTTTAAGTTGAATTAAAAATAAATCTTATATTAAGCATGTAGTAATATATAATAGCCAAACATTATAATATGGAGAAGTGGCGGAGACATGAGAAGCGGGAGCTACGCCCCCAACTTTTGAAATTTTTTTAGTAATATGCGGGGTTATATATTTTCGTCCCCAGAACAGAGCATTTTGTATATTTCATACTCCTTTTCGATCCTTAATATAAGACCCATTTAACTAATTTGATTAGATTAAGAAAGTTAGGTAAATTAGTTAATTATAAGAAAAGTGACACATTTTTCCTAAAACACTATAATCATCTTTCTCAATACCCATCTTCCTTTTCTACTTGATTACGGTTGGGGGAGTATCCATAAGGGTAATTTAGAGAAAATTAAAAAATATGATAAATGGGTCTTATATTTAGGATCAAAACCAATTCAAGAATTGGATCCTATATTAAAGACCGGAGGAGTACTGACATGCTTTACTCAATTACTAAGCATGCATACAATGATATTTAAAAAAAAAAAATTCCTCTCTTCTATAGGAAGTGTTTATTTAATTTGAATATATTAAAAAAATTAAATAAATTACTTAAGCATAATATTTGTAAACCTAATTTCTTTAAAATAATCACGTATAATATTAGATTATATAACAATTTATGAGTTAGGTAAATTAATTAAAAAAAATATAAATATAAGAAATAAAATGAATTAAGATATTACATTTAATACCAAAATCTAATTAGAAGTAATTTTTTTTACTCTAAGAAAATAAATGCTAAACATAAAATATAACTTGCTTTTCATAAATATAAACAAATATCCAAAGTGTTTTAAAAAGCTCTACTATATAAAAAAAAAAAAAAAAATCAGTTTCCTCGCTGTAACTGTGAGAATTAGTTTGCATGCCATGGAGTGGCTTTATTTTCTCTATTGATTACCATCTCCGAAGTCCTAGAGCGTCAAGGGTTAATTTTTCTGGTATTACATTAATATCTATGTGCGTGTTAATTAAAAGAGTTATATGCCTGTACGTTCTTGCATTTTGCCTCGTCCACAGTCTCGATACAGTTTGGGAGAAGATCAGCTAATTACTAGTTGTTAATCATTGGCTTTTAAGCTACTTTTCTTAACTAAGCTGCTCGTAATTCAAAAATGCTTATCTAATAAGTAATTACTATTTCTGATCCTTTTAAAAACTAGTTTGATATTTAATCTGATTATAAATATAAGACTATAATTTACTTTATTTATTATATTTATTTATTTTTTTCAAAGTACTTCTTGTAGTTGCATATTTTAAAAGGTTCATCAAATGGTAGATCTAGCTAATATATAAAGTGCCTGTTTGGCAGGGCGTTTGTGGAGCTTAAAAGTAGCTTATTGGTACCATAAGCTCGATCTGCAATTTTGACCTGTTTGGCATGGCTTATGGTTCATCGTACTTATGGTTGAAAAGTAAGATTGAATCGCACGATTGGAGAAGCTGCTGTGAGTAGCTTATTTCTGATTTTCACCGTGTTTGTGGGAGTCTCCTTCATTTTATTCTCTCTCTTTCTCTCATATCTGAAAGCATCTCATTTATCCTCCCATCGACAAAAAGCAGAGCATCGCAGCCTCCACCGTGAGCTCCATTGCGTCGTCACCGTGAACGCGTCTACTGTTGTGTCGTCGTGTTTTCTCAACTCTTTTTATCAGAAGCAGCAACGTTAGAAAACAAAGGGTCAAAGGTAGTGATACTGGTGGGCTATAAAGCTTTCATTCAAAAAAGGCTCAGGAGCTTTCATTCATTAGGAAAGAGAAGGAAAAGGAGGGGGGAGAGAGAGAGGGGTGGGCTGGCGTTTTTTTTGTGGGGTGGGGAGCATAAAGAATAAATTTACATAAAAAGCAAATTTATCTTTTATAATAATTATAAACATTCTGGTTTTGAAATAATTTAAATTTATTATATCAACTTATTTTTTTATTATGTTTCACTTCATATTTGAAATATTTCTTATGATTTCTGTGAAGTTTTTATTTTTAATTCACTCATTAAATTTTACTTCTTCATTATATTATCTTAATTCATCTTTTTTCATCTTTCACTTTATATTTAAAATATCTTATATTATTTCTCTAAAATTTTAAAATTTATTCGTTCATTAAATTTGATTTCTTCATATTAAATTATTTTAATTTCATTGTATTATGTGAAATTATTTTTTATCATATTTCATTATTTATTAAAACTCATACTTATTTTGGTCATTTTACAACCAAACTTACTTTTACTCAACTATAATCCAAACAACTTTTTACTAATTTCACTTTTACAAACTAGCTTTTCTGAACTCTAATCCAAACACAATTCAACTTATCCAATTTAGCTTTTACCAATTTCACTTCTCCATAAGCTACCTTTTTAATAAGCTACTTTTCCAATCGCTGATCCAAACGGACCCAAAATTAATAAGGGTAGTTTAGTGAACACAACATGTACTTATTACAAATAATTAACTTAACTAATTTTTTAATCTACTCAAATTAGTTAATTAACTCTTATATTAAACACTAGATGTAGTATTAGCTTTTTATTTAGCAGCAATGCGAATGCTAGGGATCTCAAGGCACCATATCTCCTCTCTCTCTCTCTCTTCCTCTTCAAAAAAACACTCCTAACTACCATATAAGCGCGGAAAAAAAGTGCTGAAAAGTAATTTATATTATTAAAATGTTAAACTTTATTTAATTGAATTTATCCTCCAATTAAGATCAATGTATCTTAATTACTTTAATTTGTCATAATACAATTAATAAGGGTATTTGTGACCAAAAGGAATTTAATACTAGTTACTTTTAGCAAAATGACTTATGTTGGGAACTATAAAAACCTTCTAGAAGATACTGCTTTGGTGCTATTTATATGTTGCCTCCGACATGTTTTATCAAAATAAAAAAAATAAAATTTCATAACTTCTATTTTAAAATTAAATAATTTTTTAACTCTAACCCCATTTAATGTATACTTTTTTGAAAAACAATATTAGTGATCTACATACTAATAAATAAGGAATAAAGTAATATATTTATGTTAAAAATTTAATACTCCTCCGGTCTTTAATATATGACCTAATTGTTAAGTTGGTTTTGGTCCTAAATATAAGACCCATTTCTCATATTTATCAATTTTCTCTAAACTACCCTTATAAATACTTACTCAATCATAATCAAATAAAAGAAGAAGAGGGGGTATTAAGAAAAATGATCATGGTATTTAAAAAAAAAAAGTATCACATTTCTTATAATTAACTAACTTACCTAATTTTCTTAATCTAATCAAATTAGTTAAATGAGTCTTATATTAAGAACCGGAGGAGTATTTCTTACAGGGAGTATATTATTTATGATATGTGATTAGTGGGTATTCTTTATATTTTGTATTTAGGTCAATACAATCTTTGATCCCTCAAATTTATTCTTGTTTGATTTTTAGTTTCTTAAATTTCAGATAATAGGTTTTAGTCCCTTTAAAAATAAAATGGCTCAAGTCTTTATTGAATTATAGGAATCAATACTTTAAATGAAAAAAAATTGAGATACCAAAATTTATGATTTGAAATTTGAGAGACCAAAACCTATAGTTTGAAATTTAAAGGACCAAAATCAAAATGAGAACAAATTTGAAAGACCCAAAATTATATTAATATTTTATATTTGATATAAATATATTAATTGATTTGAAGAAAAAAATTTTGCGTGAAAATAGGGCAGAGGGATCTTCTTGCAATTACTACTTTTGGGCACTAACGTTTTAAATTTAATAGAAACTTAAGTGTTTCTAGGATTATTTAATTTAACCTGTATTTCGATTTACGTAACTGTTCCAATAATTTGATTTTAAAAGGAAAGAATTTTTATTTAGGAAAAAATATATTAAGATCCCACTCAAGAAAAATAAATATAAAAAAATTTGTTAAAATTTAGTATTTAGACAAGTGAAATTTCTTATAAAATCTTTTACAATGAGACTCTTTAGACTTTATCTTAATATGATGATTTTAAGAAGACTTT